CCGGTGCTGGGGGGGGAGGGGTGGACTTCCCTCCTCTGCTCCCTGAGAAGGAGTGAGGATGTCGGGCTTCTACTCACGCCGAGTCTTGGATCCTGGGTCGTCTCTGGTCTGCAAGCTGCAGGATGAAGATGTCCACTCTTTGTTGGTTCTTGCTGGTGTTGAGTAGAATCCGCTCGCCTGCTGCGTCTGGCTCCTTCGTCCCGAACTCTCTGTGTGAGCACTCAGGTATGGTCCAGCTGCGTTCTCCGCCGCTTGTGACCCTGCCGCCGCCGCCGCGGCTGCTGGCAAGCACTCAGATGTGTCTTTTTGCCTTGGCTTCCCTCTCTTGTCTAACTCTCTGTCCTGTGATGGCACACTTGGTGTGATTCTCTGGCTTAGGACTGTTCACTGGAACTCTAAACCTGCTTTCTATGCGAGAGCTTTTTCAGATTCCAGCTTCTCCTCCGCCATCTTGAAAATTCTCCAGGCTCTCTTCTTTAAATGTTGGCCATGGTGCTTGAACACAGGGCCTGGGTGTTGTCTCTGAGCTTTTCTGCTCAAGGCAAATGTTCCCTCCCACTTTGAGCCACAACTCTATTTCTTGGGCACTTCTTTTTACTCTGCATTAAGGTAGCATCATTGTATGTTTAGCTTAAATCACTCTGCATCATCTACTCTCTAATAGGTCAAGAACATATTCCTAGAAATGAATGGCAAGAGGTAGCGCTGCGGCTGAAATCAGTAGAGGGCTAGCCTTGAGTGAAAAAGCTCAGGGACAGTGCCCAGACCCTGAGTTCAAGCCTTATGACTGACAAAATAAATAAATAAATAAATAAGTAACATTAGAAAAAGAAGAAATGAATGGCAAAGATTGAGGGAGAAAAATGTAGTAAGATATACAAATGGCATTAGTAAATCATAGATAAACATGTTTCAAATCCTGACAATCTGAGTTCAGAATTAGGGATGAGAGGACTTTTCTACAGTAATATGTAATGAGACAGGTAGGAAGAAGGTTTGAGCCAAGTATCTGGCAGAGAAGCTGGCAGAAAAATTAATTACACATAGACTTTAACTTCAAATAACATGTAATAGACCATGCACAAATTGACATCTGAGAATATTCTTGATTTCCTTTAGAATCAGTGCCTAAGTGTGAATACTCCATACACCTGGGGATTTGAGTAATTACTGAAAGAATGAACACATGAATGAATGTAGCATACAATAAATTGATACGTATCTGTCCAAAATGTCTGGTAGGGAATTTTGCAAATTAAAGAGGTTAATTAAAGGTTAAAAATCAAAGATTTGCTGGGGCAGTGACACCAAATCATGCATCCTGTGAAGAATCTCCATCAGAAAAAACAACCCTAGAAAGTGAATTAATGAAATTTACTCTCAGTTACCTGCAATTAATAGGATGTTCTACTACAGTAAAGGTATAAAATATCATTTACAATCATTTTTATGTATTTTCATGTGACTTTCTCGTTTATTCATCTATTTGTTGGAGGAAAAATGACTAATATTCATCCATAGAAAATTTAGAGTTGAAAACTAGGGAAGGTGAAATTCTATTCTATTTGTTGGTATCACTGATGGAAGTTCTAAGGCAGATTTTTAAAATTTTAACTTTGGTTGTACCAAGGAGTTGTAATTCAACATGCCAGTTTATGAGTACAACGCATCTTGATCACTGTTATCCCTTCTACCATTCTCCTTTCATCTCTCCCCACCCCATCCACCCCTTCATGTTGCTTGGTGCCATCTTCATTTATGTATATTGAATATTATGTATTCACCCAACCTTCCTTTCTCCATCATTGCATACATTGAAGTGAGTTTCTTATATGTCTCCATAGTTTAATAAATTATCAATTTCTTGTTATTTCTTATCATCATTGAGGTCAATCTTAAGAAGAAATGACATAACTGAAACGTGCTTATACAAATAGTGGTAGAGGGTAGACAGAGGATATATAGGTAGATGGATAGATGATAGATAGAGATAACTCTATATATCGTGATCGATCAAATTTCTATTTATTCATTTGCACATGACTATACCTGTGATCAAAATACAGTTGTGAGGATGTGGTCCAATGCAAAAGAAGTCCAACAGATAGATGTTCCCCTGTCTTATTTAGTACACCTAAACGTTTGCATTCCTCTGTACAAATACAATTCCACACTCCTCGCTGTCAAAGGGAAGTGTCTCTTCAAAGTCTGTGAACCATGGCCTAGGAGCATACTTAGGAACGGAAAGTGTCTTCCTGGTTTTCTCCTGTTTTTTCCTGATGATAATTGTGTGTTTTCCCTTTCGCCCCTAGCTTGCTTCATCAGAGGCCCTTCACCACATCCACAGGTCCATCCTAGGTAAGGCCATAGGCCACAAAGAACTACAGAAACAGGAAACTGAACTTCCTGAGTCCATTAGCAAACACAGAAACCTGTTTCCTCTGCACATCTCAAATTGGCAAAGCTCTGTCTGCACATTCAGTATCTAAGTAGCTTTCCGACAGAGAGAACTTTGTCTTCCATTTCCCCATGAACAGTTTTTGCTTGCAACTACTGAGATGAAGGGAGCCAACTTATTTGTCCTGCTGTCTAGTTTATGGAGTGCAGGTATTGGACTTAATACCACTATGTATTCTTGGGCCACACCTGAAGATAAAAACTCTCAAGAGAATATGACCTCTGCTCCGGTTCCTCTAACTGAAATGCAGAGTCTCCAGATGCTTTCTACCCTTCAGAACGCCCTGGCTGAGGGAACCAAAGCTCCTGAGGCTCAGACTTCTGAACAGAGTATTCTACAATCAACACTGCTACAATCAGCACCGCCTCCCTCCGAGGCAAGCACTCCTGAGGACGTGAGAAATCCAGTGCTCACCCCCACCGAGAACACAGAAGGGGTAAAGTTGCAAAGCCTTGCTCTCCCTACCCAATCTGGAATCCAGCTCGGCCCAGGAGCAGAGAGCTTGGCCCTTTCCAATGCCACACTGAGATTTCTGCAGAGCTTTGCCAGAAAGCCAGATCCACCGGCCAGCTCTCCCAAATCAGAAGAAGGGGTGGGAAATCGGTCTCCAAGAGAAACGTACCTTAGCCGAGGTGACAGCAATGGCAACCAAAGACCCGGCCATCAAAAATCAAGTTTTGAAACGACTAGAGGAAAGTAAGGCGTGTTCTTATTCTTTTCTCTCTCTACTTTGAGGGCTTTCTTCCCTGTTTGTGTCTCTGAATAGCAAGGTCTTTTGGCTTCAGGTGACAATCATACCTGTAAACGACCTTCTCAGCCCGATTATCATTCTGATTCTTCTGTATTTACAGCAACGCAGACTCATTTCCATGAAGTAAAATGATGTAATTGCATATTGTTACAAATTTCCAGTGATAGCAGATTTGGGGGTTTGCATTAGGTTACAGAAAATATTGAATCAAATCAAGTGTCAAATATGGTGGTCAATATGTGAATAGAAAGAATGCTCCCTCCAAATATATCATTTCTCAATTGAAAAGTTTAGTTTTCAATTCCTCTTCTATTACTCCTTATAATAATTCTTAATAAACACAAGTCTATGATAGGCTCTTTGCTATAAGCTTTTTCTAGCATGATTTTTGTCTCATCTTGTATTTTCTACCATTTTTCTAGATCGGAAATAGTTAGTTACAACAAAATTGTGATTTCCTGTCTGCCAGAGTGAGTGTTCACCAACTATCAAGCCCCTTTACCAGACAAAATAGGTAGTTTAGTTAGATAGCTAGATGATAGATAGATGGTACAGATAGAAAGATAGAGAGATAGCTAGATAGCTAGAAAGAGAGATGGATAGATAGAGAGATGGATAGATAGATAGATAGATAGATAGATAGATAGATAGATAGATAGATAGATAGATAGATAGATAGATAGATTATTGATAGTCAAAGGTTCATGAGGAGGGCCTAAAAGGGAAATAAAAGTTGATTATGCTGACTATGACTATTACTTTCAGAATTTCATTTGTTATATTCTTTTGAAACTTATGTGCAAAGAAGTGTCTTCAATAATTTATGACTTCTGAGTTAATGTCATCCCCAGTTAAGTTCTAGTTATCTCTTATTAGGCTATTTTTTGAATTAAAAATTTAAATATTTCATTTAAAATTATAAAACCAAGTAATTATATTAATTCTTCTGTCAATCAAAATGTAATTTCTCTGTGTGAATATTGAGTAGGTTTTTGAGATAAAGAATCTGAATATATGCTGTTTTGAATTAAAATCATGCGCTGTTTGGAAGTTACTATTGGGCCTAATGACATTCAAAGTGAATTATTCTCACATGTCATAAAATCCCAAATAGAAACACGTGCTTTTGCAAATATATGCACCTATTCAATTATAGCCAGTGAGGACAAGAACTACACACGGATTTTCCATCTCTCAGTTTTTCCCTCATTAGTCATTTACTTTATTTCATTACTTTGCTATCTCTACTTATGGTCCTAACAGATAATACAGTATAATATGATATAAATGTGTGTACATAACACTTAATATAAATATATGTTATAAACACTCATATGTGTATGTATATTATATAATATACTTTATATATAAAATTATATTATTGCACCAGCATGTTGTATATATAATTATATAAATTGTATTTACATAATGTTGTATATATAATTATATAAATGTATACAAATAAATATAAAATATATCCAATCATATATAATTATAATAAAGCAATACAATATATAAATACAATAATATAAAGCATACTGTATATGTGTGTATATAATACAAATATGTTAAGTGATAGGATTTAATAAATGCTTACGCATCTCAGGTATTTGGTTCTCCTATACCTTTTACTGTTCCAATGATAAAATTTCTTTAAGGATGAAATGCTAAATGATCACAGAAACAAGTAAATGAAGGATAATACAAGCCTCCCACCCCAGCTGGCTTGCTTCATGATTTGCACAGTGGTAAAGCCTGACACCTACTGGTTTCAAAACAGTTTACAGTTTTCCAAATGTCAGCAGCCGACGTTGAATGGGGTGACACTGATGAAGACGCATTGTATTCATAAACTGCTTTGTCAAATAGCAACTCTTTTGTATAACTACTTAAAGATAGGCAATCAAATTAGGTAAAATACAAAATAAAATATGAAAAAAGGATATATAAAAGTTAGGCCTTAAAATCCTTATATATATATATAAACGTTATACATGTATATTATTGAATTCAGTGTTACCAGCTCTAAGAGGTACTCCCTTTGACTTTAAAAACTGGAAAATAGCTTGGGTCCAAAAATAAAGTCTGCAGGTATTGCATGAAGTGGAAATACCTCAGGCTCATTCTCTAGAACCTGATGCTGAGAATATTGTTTATGGACAAGAAGTTGTGACTCAAAGTACTATACAGGCATTGATGACTGAAAATTCAATTCTATGGTCCATACTTTGCTTACTCCAGAAAGAAAATTAATAGTGCTTACTAGGACACTAATTGTTAAAAAGGTAATATGTATAAGAACGTGTGTCTTGTGAAAGCCTAAGTTAACCATAAAATTGAAGTATCAAAAATTCTACATGATTTGAGTTTTTTATGTTATTCCTCTTTGAAAATTTGTTTAGATATCTATTCACTAACATGAACCTTTCAGAAAGCTAGTATTTTGCCTAAGACTGAATGCTTTAGAATTTAGGAATTAGTCAAATAATTTACCATTAGTGGATGAAAATACATTCAATGAAAATGAAATACCCAATAAATAATAATGATTATCATTACTATTATTACTCTAACAGACTCTCCATTCTCCATATGTCTCAGGCTAGCCTCATCTCTTCCTCCTCCTCCATAATGCTGATATTATAGGCATAAGCCTCTGTGCATAGAAAAACAGTATTTTTTTCCTCTGAATACTTACAGAAATAAGTATTTAAGGGGCTGGGAAGTTGGCTCAGTGGTAGAGCGCTTGCCTCCCATGCATGAGACCCTGGGTTCGATTCCTCAGCAACATAAACAGAGAAAAGCCAGAAGTGGCATCATGGTTCAAGTGGTAGGGCACTAGCCTTGAGCTGAAGAGCTGAGGGATATTGCCCAGGCCCAGAGTTCAGGTCCCACAACCAACAAAATGAAAAAATAAAGAATTAAGTATTTAAATGAACTTGTCTTTTGGATTGTTAGCAAAACTAAGTATAAAAAGTTTAGTGTTTTACTTAAATGTGATTTACATACCAAGAATCTTTTCTATTTGCTTATTTCCACTATTTTCATCCATATTGTGTATATTTCCCTTGTTTTACTAACTCATTTATGGTCTAGGGAACTACATGTAAATTTATAAAATCAAATTAATGACTATGAAGAACCTCTGTTCTAGTTTGATTAAAAATAAAATCCAAATAAAACATTCTGAAGCACTTTGGAAACTTCTTTTTCATAACTTCTTCAGTCTATAGAGACACTTTGAATATTATATTTCCCCTGAGAGCCAAGTTTCATTATCTGAACTGAACATAAATGATGATGATAGCCTTCTGTATTGATTTTCTGAAAATTATTATTGATTTAAAACATAAAAGCAATTATGGTTAAGAGGAATTTATCAGGTCATTACAGCAAAAAAAAAGGAGGTATGTCTGTTTGGATATGAGGCAAAAAGAATTAGATACATATGTGTACACATACACACATATACTTCCTACATAATAATCTCACAGCTCATTATTTCCAGCAGTATCAGTAAGTGTTTGACATAGATTAACTTATTTAGTCTCACGAACAACTTAGATAAATAATATCTTTGTATCAACTGAATGGATGAGGAAGCATAAGAGACAGCAAGGAAATAGCTTAGAGGTGGAGGAATCGAGATCTCAAAGCAGACAGCCCATGTCTAGTCTCCAGCTTTGTTGGAAGTCTCATGTCCACAGCTATGAAATGATTCTACTCAAGGAAAACGTTTTCCTCATTATTTGCTTTTTGCTTATGCAAATGATCCCACTCACTACCCCTCCTTCTGCTTTATTCTACGTCAGAAAAATCATCTGAGGAATGAGCTGTCTTCTGTATTTGCTTCCATGTGTGACATAAGAGCAGGACATCTTGTCCAGCAAAGAGTCCTGCATGATCAAATCATTAGGAAAAAGTACATATTTGTGACTGAATATTTTAACAGAAATGTCTCCTTCTCTAGCTCTTCCTTTCTCTTCTTTTTCCTATTGCAGCTCTTTTTATTTGTTGGTCCCTCTGTCCGCCCTTTCTTTCTTTTACTTTTTCTTCCTGGTTTTATTCTTCAGCATTCTCTGATTTTAACAAAAGTTATATTGAAATATTATTCCTGGTTTTTCATGACATTTTGGTCATTTGTATATGCATGTATGTATTTATTTTGTTGTGAAAGAATACAAATAACATAAAATCTATCATTGTAACTATCTTTAAGTGTGCAATTCTATTAATTCATCTTGTCTTCAGCCATCACCAACTTCAATTTCTATAACTCACATTTTTCAAACTCAAACTCTATACCATTAAATAATAACTGTACCTTTCTCTTGCCTCTCAGCCTCTGACAACCATAGTCTACTTCGTGTCTCTATGAATTTGACTATTCAAGGTATATATATAAGTGGAATGTATATAGCATTTGTATAGAATATTGATGTTTGTGTTGTTGTGTTGTTTTGTTTTTTGCTGATCCTGGAGCTTGAACTTAGGGGCTGGGTGCTGTGCCTGAATTCCTTTTTGCTCAAGACTAGTGCTCTACCACTTGAGCCACAGCACCACTGTGATTAGTTGGAAATAAGAGTCTCATAAACTTTGCTGCCCGGGTTGGCTTCAAACCATGATCCTTAGATCTCAGCCTCCCAAGTAGCTAGGATTGGAGTTGTGAGTCTGGCATCTAGAATATTTGTAACTAATTTATTATATTATGTATAGAATCTTCAAGATTCATTCATGTTGTAACGTATCAGAAGTTTTGTCCTTTATAAAGTTGAATAATATTTGATTTTTTGTGCATCTGTAATATAATGTTATATATTACATACTACAGGTAATACATATTGTCCATGTTTTTCGCTTACCTATCAATTTATATTTGATTCATTTCTGCCTTGGCTATTGTGATTCATGATACTCTTAAATTAGGTTAAGGTGCTAAGGAGAACATTTCCCCTGACTGGTATAGACTGCCTACAATCAGTTCTTTTTTGACTAACTTAAAGATCTATCTTCAGGGACTTAGTGGGAACTATTGAATCAAATGATGCTTTATTTTTAAGTGTTTTTTTCCTAATGATCGACATCAACAAAAATAGATGTATGACTATGAAATGACTTTCATTTTCATTCTCAAACTTCATTTTATTAATTTATACAAAAATAAAAGAGAGGGAATTTTGTTGTATATGTCAGGTTGTTAGGGACTTGAAAATGAAATAAGCAGGCTGAATTTGAACAAATAATAAACTAAAAATTGGACTACATTTTACATACTTAGGATTTGCTTATCCTAAATATCACCACGGAATTGGTGATTTATTACTATGTATGGACTTGAGGGTTTAAACGTACAGTGCTGTACAAAATTGTTATTTTATAATTTTGCTCTTAGAAAGTATTAGCGGACAAAATCAGCTCAAGTATTTGTATGTAATAATAACCTTATAATTAAGAAAAGAGGTTTTTCAATAAATAAATTAGTACTAGTATGAATGAGTTTTTCTCCTATGTATAGTTAATGTTTATCTTAGCAGTACTAAGAACTGAACTAAGTACTAAGTACTGAACTCAGGAACTCACAATTACTAGGCAGATACTCTATTACTTGAGCCACACTCCTACATTTGATTTTCATCTCTAAATCCTTATTTAATTTTTCCCTGAGGTATTGACAAGTTATGAATACATCTATATGTTTTTCCATTTGTAATTTACAGTCATCTTTAAGTACCAAGTAAACAAATGTTCATTTTATCTTACACTTTTCATGGGACAGAGCCATGGATGGATATTAGTAGGTGAATTTTAGTGGATGATATTAATGGGTACTTAGTAGTGGGAGGTGGTTATCCTATTCGTGTGATAAAACTGTTCCTTTGAGAGTGCTAATTTTCAGAAATAATTTTTTTCTTGCTCTCCTTAGAATTTGAGTTTATCTGAACTCTTATTAAGATGAATAAGGTAGAAATGGAAGATTTTAAGATTTATTCAATCTCCCCAAACATAAAACCTCCAACATCTGAGAGGCAATTGTATTACCGAGGCTTGGTTTATGGTAAAGACTTTTGGTGATGTCTCGTGATCAGTGAGAATCCTGAAGACTTGGCTCAGTTCTCCTAGTGTGTCAATTCAGGCCACAGGTTCTCAATATGAAAGCATAGTGAACATAGTTTATTAACCTGAGTTGTATGGACTAGTATAACGGAACAATGCTATGTTCCTCTTTATTAAGGAAAGCAGTGGGGACAGGTGTTATTTAAAGGTAGCCTGGTTGCTTTCATCCATTTTCACTCAGATCCAGAAAAGAATAAATAAATATGACTTGGACATGGTTTTGCCAATTAATGAAACATTTTCTTGATTTTCTTTTCCATGAGCAACCTAACCATTGAGTTTCTACAATGTCTGAAGTATAGTAGATCATTTACGATGCTTCTTCTTAGTCCATTCTATTCAAGCCTGAGAGTTTCATAAGGAAGGGTTAGAATCCTTTTTGACCTTCCGTTTTATATATTCAACAAGCTAGACTTTCACTTCCATCCGAAGATATCTGCTTTTTCCTAGACTAAACCTTTTATCTAGTGACTTGGAAAATCCAAAGAATCAATAAGAGCCTTTTTTGCAGTACATGTTGCTGCACAAAAGCAACAGAATTATTACCCTTAAAGCGAATTCCAAACGCAGTGGACTGGGAGGAGGGTTATGACCCCATGAAAAGCTAAACGCTTCAAAGTCACTGCTTCATCTAGCATCATCAGTTTGGGAAGGTACAAAGGATTTCTAGGTTGGAACAAAATGCTTGTCAAGGATTTGCCTTTTAACTGTCCGTCACCATTTTTCCATGCATAACTTTATATTGTTAATCCTACATTTCCAGATAATTTGGTTTTAAAATCTCATTGATGTTTTTCATGATGTCTCTTAGGTGTTCATTTCATCAGTAGCAACACTTAATTATGAGTCACACTAGGGGCTCTTTAGTTGTGGCTGTTTCTCTGAATTTGCATGGACTAAAGATCGTTGGGCCATGAGCTATCTATTCATCTCATACTTTGATTCCTCCATGATTTTGGCCATGAGATCCTTTTTACAGATTTAGGATTTTCAAAGGTCTGAGCAGGTGATGCTACCATTTCTTCTCACCAAGAAAATATATGTTGCTTTCTCAAATCCCCTAGACTATAAAGATGGGGATCGTACTACTTTTTTTTTCTGCCCGACCTTGTCCCCTCTACAATCACTTGGCAAGTGTTCATGTTCATGTGGCCACTAACATCTGGTGAAGTTAGTCATTTTCAGTGATTAGAACCATCACTGGATTTGCATAGAAACCTTGTCCCTTTTCCATAGACAGGGATATTTCATAGACTGCTATGTCACCAGGCACAGCTTTCTGAGGTTCACTAGTAAAAAATAAAATAACAGAATAAATTGGCTTAAAATACCAAGGTATGGGTGGCTTTTTAAGATACCTTAATTTGTAGATGAATGACATACTTACATTTGATTTTCCCATCACTTAGCACAGCTTGTTGGATTTTTCTCTTGTCTTGCAATAAAGCTTAATGTTTTATATATTAAAACTGATATTGCTTTCTGTTAGATGTTTTCTCAAATATATTATACTTGTTACCTTTTGCAATTGCAAATATTATCATTAATAAATTTTTTGACATATATAAATGTAATTGATAACAATCTTGTAGTCAATAAATTTAATTTTCTATCAATAATAAAGTAGTTCATGTTAACTTAAGTATATAGCTAAATTCTTACAATGATTTGCATCAAGAATAGTGTTGTTTTATTTATTTTCAATCATATTATCTGTTGTTGCTGTTGCAAAATGGAGTTTTTTCTCTATTTTGACCCTTATACTGTTATTATCATCATTTATTATTTATATTTTCTAATCATTTTTCAAATTGTACCTTATTGTACATTATCCAAAGTAATTCACATATAGTTGCATCTCTGATCTCAGCATTTTGTTAATGCTTACCATAAGAGCAACATTAGATTTTGACTTAAACAGCTAAATTTTGATGGATCTTCTGGATTACCTTTGATTTTTTAAAACTAACTATCTATCTGTCATCTATTCAGTGCCTGTACTAGGGCTTGAACTCAGGTCCTGTTGCTTAGTTTCTTCAGCTCACGGCTGATACTCTATCACTTGAGCCATACTTCCACTTTCAGCTTTCTGATGGTTAATTAGTGATAGGAGTCTCAGAGACTTTCCTGCTCAGGCTTGGGTTGAAACCTCAGATCTCAATGTCCTGAGTAACTAGTTATTGGCATGAGCCACCGGGGTCTGGTTAAATCTCTTTTAATTTTGTTCTTATGGTGTTTCTTTTCTTGTTCTGAGTATAGCAGCGAGTGTTGTTTGCTCTTGCTTTATATGTAGACCTTTAACGCTCGGCCTAAATCTTTCAGGGCATCTAATCTATGATATTGGCAGAAGTAGATATAGATTTAGATATAGATATAATCTCTGAAAATAATTTTGATGCAAAGAATACTGCTGACAGTTACCTTTTCCTCACAATAATGGTTTCTCCCCTAGGAACTGGTGTGCTTACGTACATACCAGGTTATCCCCCACAGTGATTCTGGACAACCAGGTGAATTACATTCCAAGTGGGAGAGAAGCCTGTGGCTGGATCAACGGCTGTCCTCAGAGGTATGTAATATTTATTGAAATAGCCACTTACAGGTGTACCCATTGCAACAATGAGATGTACAAGTCGTTATGTCGAAAACGAACTTTACAACTTTTGTGCGGGGGGGGGTGGAGGATTGGGTGGGGAGGTTGGGGGAGGATGGGAAGGAATGGGAAGGGGAAACAGAGGAGGAGGCTACAATGCTTGATAAGAAATGTACTCATTATCTTGCCCATGTAATTGTAACTCCTCTGTACAGTATTTTCACAATTAAGAAAAAGAAAGAAAATAGCCACTTTTTGCACTAGGATCATTTAGGTCTGAAAATACACAAAGTTGGCCATTCTAGACACATATGTATGGTAGGGTTGGGAAAGGGACCACACATTACACATACAGCCTTCAGGAAGGCAAAGTATAAATACTGATAATACTTGTTTCGCATCATTGTGTTTTAAGTAGCATGGAATAGTGCACTCATAGCTTGGTGTCTGGTGCATTAACTCGTGCTGTTACTTTTACTCTGTGTCCTGGCCACAGTGCTATCATTAAAATCCTTATGAAATACAATTTTAAAGATTTACTGATATTTTGCATTCCATGCTGGGCCAGAAAGGAGTCCATATGTAACTTGGTTTATAATATTCTAGATCTGTGAGGACTTTAATCGCAACGGTACTCAGCAATCAGCTAAATGGGCCTTTTCCTTTCATGTGGATTGTTTTAAGTCAGTATCCTTGTCCTAAAATGAAGCCTGAGCTCTTGATAAATCCTCTGAATTCATGTAGTCACAGTAGCTCTCAGCTGGTGATGTTTCTGAAGAGCCAGCAATAAAAACTAAAATTGCTCTTCGAGCCAAGACGGCCACTAATGTTATGCAAATTGTCATACGAATAACTCAGGGAATGAATCTGACACGCCAGCAATCTGGAACAATGCACAGTAAGGATACATAAAATCAAGGTGTTCTTAGTCCCTTGAGGGATAGCTCAAGTTCATGGTCCAGAGAACTAAGTACATCTTAGGGATTTAGGGAATCCCAGCTCCAGTTCTGTGTTCAGCAATTACACCCTTAGTGACAATTTTCATGTTGACAGATGGCAAAAATAACACACTGTTAATTCTTTAATAGTGAAACTGTTCCACAAAAGCCACTTTCATGCTGTCCTTGAGTTCAAGGTGAACTCTTCTTTATGTTCTTACTAAACAAGCCAGAAATATTGATCTTGAGTCTTTTGTTTTTTAAATATACTTTTGAATGGATCTCTCCCTTTATTCAGGGCTCAAACAATATTTGTCTTCTGTTTTTCTTATTACATCTGAGCTATGTATAATGGATATTCAGTTTGACAAAAACAGGTCCACTTACCCCAATAGTGATTCAAGTAAGTGTTGAAGCTGAACCCACAAACACTAAATAAAATTATTTTCTTGATTTTTCTATGAATTTTAACTATTGGACTTGAGAATTAAGTAGCTTAGCTTTTAGAAATGGAAAAGGTCTGAGAGTTCATGTGACCATTGAGGAATCACTTCTGAGGCACTATGAGTTAAGTCTCAGCAGAAAGTCATAAGAAAGTCTCTTGTGCTTCACTCTGTTATGCATTTCCTCCACAGATTCAAGCATGAACCAGGTAGATAAGTAAGCTCTAGGATTGTGAGACGCAACCACAAGACTGGTTAAAATTCTGGCTTTATTGCTTTTTGGGCATAGAGCTGTGAATATGCCATTTCATCTCTCTTTCCTTCAGCTTTTTTGTTGGCAAATTGGATAATAATCGTTTTGTTATAGAAAGAACACAAGATTAAGCAAGATAACACATGCTTGTTTCATAAACCCACTTGAGAAATGTCATTCAGAACTTGAAGCCATATTATAAAAATAGTTTGTACAAGTTGCTTTTAGAGCTTACATTTCTCTATACATAATTTTTACACCAGTCACTAATTATACTGATTATTATGTTTAGATGTTATAATTTATTTATCTCACATGATTTTTTTATCTTGTCTGATTTTATTTTCATTTATCTTGTATGATTTCATCTCAGAAACAGCTTTTTCTCACATTCTATCTTCTTTCTCTCTCTTGACACATTATTTAACAAAGAATATTATAGAGTATAACCTTAAAATTTTGGACATGAGTTGATTGTGGTTAGCCTAAGTTTAGCTAGATTACCAGTATTTATTTCAAGTTGTTCGCGATTGAGCTGGAGGAAATAAAGATGTTTTTAACTATAACTAGGAAATAGGAATTGAAATTATTAAATAATCCCACTGTAACTCTTTTAAAGTGGAATTAAAATAAGTTCTAACACTGGTTTAGCTATAGTATCTTTAGAAAATGTAAAAACAGGTATCCACTTACCTAGGGTCACTAGGTAATGCCAAATCAGTAATATTTTGAGTATGTACAAAGAAGTCTAGGTTTGGAAATTTTGAATATAATATTGATGATCAGCATTAAGATCATAATCATACCAGTAAACATTTACTAAATGCTCACTATATTTGAGGCATGATTCCAAATTCTTAACATGTATAATTGCAACTGATTACTTAATATAAAGCACATAATCCATTTTCTCCCATATGTTTTTCTCTCTAGATCTCAGAAGGTACTCAATCCTGTATACAGAATGCAACATAAAATTGTCACCTCATTAGAATGGAGGTGCTGTCCAGGATACAGTGGACCAAAATGTCAGTCAAAAGGTATGTTCAAAGCCTGAATTTGTAATAAAATTGACAGAGAAGCAACTGATTCTCCTTAAGAAAACAATTACATTTTCTCCTTTTGGTAAATTAACATATAGTTAAACTATTGTGACTGTTACTCTTTGTGTGTGTGTGTGTGTGTGTGTGTGTGTGTGTGTGTGTCTGTCTGTCTGTCTGTCTATGTCCTGGGACTGGGGTTGAATTCTGGGCCTGGGTACTGTCACCTGGCTTTTATAATCAAGGTTGGAGCTCTATCACTTGAACCACAACTCCACTTTCATCTTTTTGGTGGTTAATTGGAGATAAGAGTCTCATGGAGTTCCCTGCTCAGGATAGCTTCGAACTACAATACTTAGATCTCAGCCTTCTGAGTAGTTAGGATTACAGAGATGAGTCACTGGTACCCAGCAAGTCTGATACATTTTTAAAAACACTTCATATGTTAGATATCCACTCTAGCTCCCTAAAAATCTCATAAGTTGTCCTTTAACTTCTCTCCGGGTCCGGTCGTGGGGTCTGAACTCTGGGCCTGGGTGCTGTCCCTCAGTTCTTCAGCTCAAGGCTAGCGCTCTACCATTTGAGCCACAGCGCCATTTCTGGCTTTTTCCTTTTTGCTTATGTGGTACTGAGGAATCGAACCCAGGGCCTCATGCATGCAAGGCAAGCGCTCTACCAGTGAGCCACCTTCCCAGCCCCACTTCTCCCCCATTTTAAGGCTGATGTTGTATGATGAGTAAAAATAATCTTACCATCTTACTTGTACTTAACTAAATGCTACAGAGACCTGACTGATTAAAAGATCAGGAATACTAGTTTCCTCTTTCCATAAATCGCTATTAGAAGTGACCCTAGGTAAACATAAGAATGTCTTCTAGTTTTGTGCCAGCTAAATTATTTGAAAGAAATTCTATATTAAACAATATCTCAAGTAGGTCATGAGTAAGACTTTAAAAACCCTAAAGAAGATAATAACTGAAATTTTAAGGATTTTCTGGTGGCATTCTGATCAAACAGATGGCACCCTGCTGTGGCCTACCATCCATGTGGCTATTACTTTGCTTTGGGCTTTACACAAGTTTCCTTTGAAAAATAAGATATGGCATCAGCATACATATTTTAGGTGAATGAACATTATAGGGAAGGCCATTAGCAGTGTTGAAGAATTCAATCAAGAGAGTAAGAGACTGATTAAAAATTAATGTAAGTGTGGAGAAACCATTATCATTCTCATTAAGAAAAAGAAAATCATAATATGAAAGCTCTAACACTCTTGCGGTTTAGTTATGGATATTATACATGGTTTTGCTAGCCTGTGCGCTAAGCATCTGTAAGAAAATTTCTCTTGGTGGAATTTGTTCTGGGTCTGACTTGAATTTCAGAGGTGATATAAAAAAATGGAATGTACTTTCACAGTATAGCACAAATATATATTGCCCTAGGATAAGTTAAAATAAACCTTTAAAGAAAACATGATCCATACTGAAAATATTTGGAAATGAGGAATTATTACATGTTCTTCAAAAGATCCAAGATAGCCCTATTTGCAAAACACTTCTAATTATTATGCATCACATGAATGTAGTCACAGTGTTGAAACATATTTGTTCCTTGTCTATATATTACCTTTCTACAAGGTACTTTGCAAACAAATACTTGACTTCTGAAGAAAAAATAGTGGAATTAATATTCTCCAAATACTCTCCTTCATGCAATAAAAAAAAAAAAAGTAAGCCAGGTGCCGGTGGCTCGCTCATGCCTGTAATCCTAGCTACTCAGAAGAATGTGATCCGAGCACTGTGGTTCAAAGCCAGGCTAGGCAAAAAAGTCCCCAAGAGACTCTTTTTTTTTTGGGGGGGGGTCTGGTCATGGGGCCTGAACTCTGGGCCTGGGCGCTGTCCCTCAGCTCTTCAGCTCAAGGCTAGCGCTGTACCACTTGAGCCACAGCACCACTTCGGCTTTTATCTTTTTGCTTATGTGGTGCTGAGGAATCGAACACAGGGCCTCAGGCATGTAAGGCAAGTGCTCTACCACTGAACTACCTTCCCAGCCCCCCAAGAGACTCTTATCACCAATTAACCACTCAAAAACTGGAGGTGGAGCTTTGGCTCAAAGTAATAGAGTGCTAGCCTTGAGGAGAAAAGCTCAGGGACAGAGCTCAGGCCCTGAGTTCAAGCCCCACAATGGATAGAAATTTTTTTAAAAAGCTGTGGAGTTTAGAAATACAATTCCAAATAGCATCACTCTATCTATAAACTATAATATGTAAACTATATATTGTATATAATATAGAACATATTTTTAAGTAATGTTTAAAAATTATTTGTAACCAGCCCTTGTTTTAAGGAGTTCATCAGAAAACAGACTTTGTGTAGAAAGGGTTGAATATATATGTATGTATGTGCTTATCTATTTATAGATGTACTCATGTGCAGATAGATAGATAGATAGATAGATAGATAGATAGATAGATAGATAGATAGATAGATCAGGGAGTAGCATCTCTGGGTCAAAGATTGTCCTGGGCTCCAGCTGCTAAATCCTGCTGTGGCCTTTTTTATACTGGACAACCCATTTTTAGTCACTACAGTGGACTACATGTATGCATGATGAAGAAAAGCTGTAGAACTCCATCATCAAAAACATCACCAAAGACAAAATTGAGTTAGAACTGTATCGCATACAATCGTTCCCTTCCTAAAAATATTATCAAGTGTTTATTTACACTGATTTTGAGTGACTTATCCCTAGTGTTTGATGTTTTCTAATCAAAAGCAATCTATGGGTATCATGAATACTACTAGATTAAGGAATCACCATCTTGATTCACATTTATGAGCATGTCCCAGGACGGTTCAGATCATGAGCTTGGGTCCCAGTTGGACAAGGAGACATACTCCACACTGAAATAACTACCAATTACTCTGTTGGGAAAGCTCTCATTTCTATTGAAATCTACACTGGGAATGTGGCCATGGTGGTGGATGGAGCTTACTGTGTCATGTGATCACATAAACCAATCCTAAAACAGCTTTGATTCCTGAAGGAGGCCACAGCCCTCTCCATCATTCTCTCCCCCTTCCTCTTACTTTTATGCAGGTCCATAAGAACTGGTGAGTTTTGTATTGCTTTGTTCCTGGGTCATCTTCATTGTCTCTATCCTGGGTTTTTTTGTTGTTTTTACACACTCTCTCCTTCTGATATCTCTCCAAATACCTGTGAAGCCCTCTACTCTTGCTATCACACTTTATAAATTGCCACCAGTCTTTTTATTCTTATCTAGTAAATTGTCTCTTACAAGAATAAACAGCGTGTGACAACTCTGCAATGCTGTCTCCTATCACAGACTGCCCCAGAGATGGCAAGAATGATCTGGGGGGTGGGGGCTGATGGCACCATAAATGTCTACCATACTCCTAAAGGATTAAAGTAACCTGAAATACCATGTCAGTTATTTCAGGGCTAGTCCCTCAAATCGTTGGAGATTTCACTTACAGAAAACTTACAAAGTACCACATACGCTTCCCAATTGCCTTCATCCCCAATAAGATACTTCCTCACAAACAAAGCAGAATATAAAATGCTGACATCTTTTTAACTTACATTGCCTTATGGTAATCTGCTTAAATATTCAAGAAACAGTACATCATGGTAAAATGAAATGGCCAGCAATTGGACTCTCTCTCTCTCTTTTCTTTTTAAATGCATTTTTTTCATTTTTTTTCCTTTCTGTTTCTGCAGATCTATTTTCTAAGTGTGATGAAGGGACTTTTGGTCATTAAAATCCATAAGGTATCACTTTTTGGTGTTTTATTCTGCAGTAAACTGATAGACCATAGACACACTTTAGCTACGACTCAGGTAATTATAGAAGTTGGTGTCTATAGTGGTTAATTACCATACTAAAATATTTGTTATGTTATCAAAAGGACACCAATATTTTAAAATTCTATGTGAATAGAACTTTATTGAAAAAAAGTAAAGGAGCATGAAGTCCAAAATCAAAGTAGTAGTTCTGGCATATTGTACATTGTAATCTTTTTGAGAATCACAGTGCTTTTGCCCTCAGGAAGTGACTTTATTTTGTTATATGTTATTCTAAGCATTTTCTGAAATACCAGTAGTAGTATACTTTAAAAATCTATTTCTTAGAATTTGCAATCATGTGCCTTTCCAGCAGATGTCTCTAAAATATTCTGAAGTGGAACAGGAAAATGATGGCTTGCTGTCAGGTCACAAAGGAAAGAGAAATTAATATTCAACTAGTGTCAAATTAGAGAAGATGAAGAGAAATTTCTTGCCAATATGTTAAAAAATATAGTCTGCTTCATTCAAATTTTCTATACAAGTAAAATACAATATTACAAGTAAAATCTAATAAGAATATTTTGAAATATGTCACAGATATGACGAATACTGAAAAAGACATGAGCATACACAGATTTTGCACTAATCCCGCCGTATGTTATAAATATATGACACATTTCTCCCTGTTTTGAAAATGCTGTAAAATAATTCAAGCAACTATTCGAAGATTTTTAATATAAGCCCTCTGCAATGAGATTATTACAAAACAAATTCCAAACAAGAGGAGCAGAAAAATATAGTTTTTAAAAGGAAAAAAAGTGTATATTTCTTACATTTTTGAAAAGCTATCTTCCCAGTAGTGTCCAACGTTTTTAAATAAATTACTTTATTTTTTAAGTTTCAATTTTATTGTAAAGATGATGTATGGAGGGATCACAGTTACATAAATCAGGTAATGAGTACATTCCCCTTCAAACAGTGTTACCCTCTCCCTCACTCTCTCCCACTATTTCCCCTCCTAACTCCCCTCTCCCCCAGGTTGTAAAGTTCATTTAAATGCTTTTAAAAATAAGTTAAAGAGCATGTCTCCTGATGAGAATCTTGCTTGGTGAGACTAGGATGCATTTAATGAACGGACAGAGTCCTTCTATCTTTGTTCTGCATCAAACCTCAACAGAACTAGTAAATCGTGAAATGTATCCTGAGCATTCATCAAGCCAGTAAGTATTCACTGGATATTGCAAGATCAGCTGGAAATCTGTCTTGTCAAGCCACACAGGAAGGCTTTCTGGCAGCTGAGGGCAAGAGAGAGAAACATCCTCATTACTGAGCTGCCATTAATGACTTCCTCCATATGGCTCAAAGGCCTGGAAGGGTTTTGTGGACCGTGGGGGGTGGGGAGGAGACATACAAATAAAACCTGTCTAATTAAAGAAGGGGAAAAAAAGCACCTAATAAGGAAGTTGTTCCCATTACTGACTTCTTTGCCTTGCCCCTCTAGTTCTTGATCCATGAAAGTCAGAGTTTTCATTGCAGGAGGAGAAAAAAGAGAGCGAAACTAGTAGTTATGTTAGAAGGTAAGACAAAGGAGTCACACTTAAAAACTATTGCATTAAAAAATATCTGAAGGACACAAAGATCTTTAAAAGTTTGTTGATGTAAAGAAATGCTCCCCTTCTCTTTACTTATCACTTTATAGAAATAAACAGGAAAAGGGAGCAAAAATCTGTACCTTACGGAACAAAGCCTGGGTCCATGCTTGGAAGAAAGGAAGCTAGACCACTTGCAAACGGAGATAGTGTGTCAGTTCTTGGCGGTAGAGAACACATCTCGGGGACAGAAAGATTGCTAAAGGAAAAGAAAAATGAAACATTGATCAGCCAGGCTCTTTATCACAGAACGGTCACTGACTACCCTGTCAGAGATGCTATCAGCTCCCCCAGCCTCTGGTTAAACCCCAGGCAATAAATTGGGATGAATGCATGAACTGAACTCCAGATGACAAGCAGAGCTAAGAAAAGAGAACGTGAACTATTGAATTTGTAAAGATGGGCAATTCAAGTTTTAAACATCTTGGGCCGGGACACTTGATAACTTCGGGTAATATTTTTTATCCTCTTCAATTTTCTTTTTTTCCATTTTTTAAATTGAATTTGTTGTAAAGGTGATGTACAGAGGGATTATATTTGCATAAGTAAGGCAATGAGTATATTAGTTGTAGAACATTGTGACTCCCTCCCTCATTTTTCTCCCACTTTCTTCCCCCCCCCACTGCCCTGCCCCCTCCAAGTTATAGAGTTCATTTCTAAACTAGCATCTTGTGGGTATCACTGTTGCATTGGTTCAACCTTTGTCCATTGTTTTTTGTTTTTTTTTTTAACATTTTGTTTTTTACCTTCCCTTACCCAAATCAGGTAAATATATATACAAGATACAAGGTACCAGAATCAAACAGCTAGAACAGTCTTTATTGTACCATTTAAGGAGGAACTATGATAGAAAATTGCAATTATTTAATAGATTTATATGGATTCATTTGAATGTAAGCTATAAGAACCCTATAGCTAAGATTTAGTAAAAATATTCATACTTTTTCCTACCATCCCTAGCTCCCAAATGCTTGTTCATCTTCCCAATCTGTACATTGTGTTCTTCTACTACATAATTCAACAATTCAACAGAATGTTCTATAATACAATGGAGGAAAAGAAAGTAAAAAAGGGTCAAAAGAAAGCCATAGTCTGAATGGAAATTCATTAATGTAGCTCAATTCCTTGAAGAAAAGCAATGCAAAATTCAATCTAACAATAGAGACTAACACAAATTAGTGCCAAACCTATTATATATTTGAAGGGGTTTTGTTCTCACAATCACACGTGGCTCAGGAGCAGGGGGGCAGAGTTTCATTGGTATACATGGGAAGTAGCCTCACCAGACACCACGCACTAGTTTGTACATGTCTAATCTGCAGGCTTTAATAAACAAATTTGTTCACTCAAAGCCTGTCAATTACAGGCTTACAATACTTGACATGTTCCCTATCTTTAAGAAACCTTTCTTAAAATTGGTTTTCCCATAGAGACATGAAGGTATTACTAGATTTAGCTGGGAGCCAGGTGCTCACACCTGTAATCCAGTCAGGAAACTGAGACCTGAGGATTGAGATTTGAAGTCAATGGGATGTTTATCTCCAATTAATCAGCAAGTGAAGATGAGACTCAAATGGTAGAGCACCAATCTTGAGTGATAAAACTAAGGGACATCACATTGGCCTTGTGTTTGAGCCCCAGTACTGTCATACAAAATACACATGTACACACACACACACACACACACACATATATATATCTCACACATATATGGATATGTATGTGTGTGTTTAGAGTATTAGATTCATTGAGCTCCTGAAGAGTAGATTCAAGAATTCCATTTTTCTGAAATTTCACTGACTTTATGGTTTCATTTCCTAGAGAGGAACCTTTAGTCTAGGAACAGCCTATGTAAGTAACACTATTAATTAAATACCAGTTTTGTCTTCAAGGTGGAACATGGTGTTTTCCCCATACGTCCAGTAGACACCCAGTAGAAATTCCATTATTAAGCAAGCAGTGTGTATTCTCAGTTCCTCTATTGCCTTGAACACGGTGAATTTTAAAAGCCACTCAATTATGCAGGCAGTTTACATACACGGGTTACTCAGCCTGTTCCTCCCCTTATCCCTCCTCCTCCTCCAAGAAGAAAAAGAAAGAAAGAAAGGAAAACAACAATCCTACCATCCATTTTCACCTAAAGGAATTCTGAATAATTTAATTTTTTTCCAGGCAGAATTATAGTCCTGTATTTCCAAAGGCAGTGTGGTAGCCCCTTGCTCTCTGCTTGGGGGCGGGGCGCTCAGGGGCAATCATCCTACCATCACGCTTCAGTACACAGGAAAATGAATGTCAACCACATTATTGCTCAGGACTGGGGGAGAAAAATGATTCCAATGGTTCCAATGCTTACCACTCTCTCTCCCTCTTTTTTTCCCCCCTGCTTACCTCTAGCCCAGGAGCAGCAGCAACTGATACACAGCAGCCAGGCTGAAAGCCACACTGCTCTTGACAGAGGGAAAGCTGAGAAGCTAGAGCAGCTGCAAGACTGTGGTGAGCCATTGTAATTACTATCATCTCTAACCCAATTATTGTCAACACCGTGCGTTGTTAACTTCCAAATAAGCAATCTTTCTGCTGTCAAATGTGTGCTGGGGACACATTCATGTGTCAATCCTTTTCTATCAGTGCTGGTTATTGGGTAAAAACAAAACCAGCTACCAGGGTGTAAGAACCACATGTACTATGTGCAGTGTGAAAAAACAAGGAATATAAGTAAGTTGCCAAAATAAAAGCAAACTTCTGCCTTCTAAGCAGTGCAGTAGGAGAAGAATCATGTTAAGTGAGCTAAGTCCCTTTTTTATTGGCTGATAAAGATCCTCTTTTTTTTTTTGTTTTTTTTGTTTTTGTTTTTTTGTCAGTTGTGGGGCTTGAACTCTGGGCCTGGACACTGTCTCTAAGCTCTTCAGCTCAAGGCAAGCACTCCCTAAAAGGTGTTGATTATTGACTGAGGAAAATGACTATATCTAAGAGTCCACAGGTGAAGACCCTGATCAAGGATTGATTAGGAAATCCAGGTGCTGATGACTCCCACCTATAATTGTAGCTACTCAGGAGGCTGAGATACAAAGAGTGAGGTTCAAAGCCAGACTGGGCAGGAGAGTTTGTGAGATTCCTATCTCCAGTTAATCACCAGAAGGCTAAAAGCTATGACTCAAGTGTTAGAACAATCCACCTTGAACAAAATAGCTAAGAATCTGAGTTCAAGTTTGAATCCTAGGACAATGGGTGGATAGATAGGTAGATAGATAGTTGATAGGCATTAGATATAGATGATAGATAAATAGACTAGATGTTGTCACGTACTTTTTTTCACACCCTGCTAGTAACAATGATTTGTCATTTCTTTTAGACTTAACTTTAGCCTGTAGAAACATAAAGTAAGTTATTGCCAACATCTATTCACAGTGTTTGACATAGATCTAGGCAAGCAAGACAAGGCTCTCAAATTAAGAAAAGTCACTTAGTGGGAAATCTTTTAAAATGCAGGTGGCTACGCCTTAGAAATTCCCCTTTAATTCTTTATTTAAGGGATTGGGCCTTAGCATCTTTACTATCTTCAAATCTTGAATTATTAATGTGTTATGTTCAAGGAGACAGTGACATTGCTATATAAAATGATTCAATCTAAATTCTGTCTATTTAGTTCTCATTAAAGAAATTCCCCAGTAAACACTACACTCACCACACAGGAAAAACTATGTCCCTGTGTGCAGCAGCACCTACCGAAACCTGGCTCATTGGCTTTAGAAGCAGTTCCGCCATTAACTCTGTAGCTTCAGGCGAGTTAGGCTGGTTCTCCAATCTTCAGTGTTTCTATCTATCTATAATGTGACCATAACTCCCAGAGATTAAAAAAAAACAAAACTCACAGTGCTGGAGAAAGTTACAACATTTTAGAAGTCAAAGATATTATAATATTGTTTACAAATATCTGTCTTTATGTATTCAGTTTTTGTTTTTTTCCATTTGTGGGGCCTGAACTCTGGGCCTGGGCGCTGTCCCTCAGCTCTTCAGCCCAAGGCTAGCACTCTACCACTTGAGCCACAGCGCCACTTCTGTTTTTTTTTTCTGCTTATGTGGTGCTGAGGAATCGAACCCAGGGCCTCATGCATGCAAGGCAAGCACTTTACCACTGAGCCACCTTCCCAGCTCCACAAATATCTGTCTTTAAAAAGCCTTAATCATTGAGGTTGTCATTTAGTAAATTAATGCATCTATATTCTCAATTATATTAGTACAAATGTGGTTTATTTACATTTTCTTTAAATCTATCATATAAGTGAGTGTTTCTAAAGCCTATATCTCCTTCCTCTTTCTCTCCTTTCTTTCTTTCTTTCTTTCTTTCTTTCTTTCTTTCTTTCTTTCTTTCTTTCTTTCTTTCTTTCCTTCTTTCCTTTTCCTTTTTTTTTTCTCCTTTGCTTCCCTTTCCTTCTGTTCCTTCTTTTTGTTTTTGGCAATACTATGATTTGAACTTAGGGCTTTGTGCTTTCTAGACAGATATTCTATCAGTATTCTTTTTGCTCTTGTTATTTTTGAGAGAGTGATACATTTTTTTTTTTTGCCTAGGCTGTCCATAACCACAGTCATCCTATTTATTCTTCCTGCCATAGCTAGAATGTCAGGCTCACACCATCAAAATGAGCATTTTTATGGTAAAAAGGTTTTGCAAACCGTTTTCACTCCCAGACTGGGCTGATCTAAGCCTACCACATAGCTGAAATGAGAGATGCATATCACTGGGTCCCAGCTATTGGTTAAGATGGGAAGTCATGTCTGTAATCCTAGCTAACCAGAAAGCTGAGATCTGAGGACTAAGGTTTGAAGCCAGCCCAAACAGACAAATATGAGAAACTCTGATCTCCAATTAACCAGCAAAAATCCAGAAGTGGAGATGTGACTCAAATGTTAGAGTGCCAGCCTTGAGCAGAAAAGCCAAGCCAAGAGTGCAAGGCCCTGAATTCAAGCCCCAATGCTAGTGTGTTTGTGCAAGTGTGCACAGGTTCACACACACCGAGCCTCAAACATTGATCCTCCTAATTAATCACAGCCTCCCAAGTAGCTAGGATTACTGCATGAACCATTGGCAGTTGACTAGCATACATTTTAATGTTGCCAATCTTCTCTTTCTACATCCAGCTGTGATGCAAAAATTGACTGACCAGATGACCCAGGAGGCTATGAAACTGACTCTTCTACAGAAGAAAGTAGACAATATCTCTTTGACTATAGATGGTGTAAACCGCATGTACTCCTCCTTGGAAGAGAAAATCAGTGAAGATAAAGGGAAGGAATTTCAATCTTTTCTAAAAGGTAAGACTGAAACAAAATAAATTACTCATTTGTGTTGATTTTTTTATGCACAGGACTTGGTAGATCCATTTGAGATTGGCATCAATTCCAGGGATAATTTTTAGAAAAATAAATTATGAGAGAAAGATGAGATGTTAATGGAGCAAATGGGTTTTAGGTAAAGCCTGGCTGTTCAGGGGAGTTTGTTTTCTTACTAGGATTATCCTTATTCATTTGGCTTATTGCATGTTCCCAAGTCTCAGGATTGCTGGTTTCTTTAACATCACTTTATTTGTTTAAAAAAATGGCTCACGATCCTGTTGTACTTCTATCTACTAGTGATGTTTTCTCTTAGCATTATATGTTTCACAATTAAAATGATAGAGATTTGCCATAATATCTGCCAGTACAGAAACTTCTGTAGTTCAACAGAAGCCATTATTTTTTTAATCATCTAAATAATTAATGTTTGTCAACTACTAAAAGATCAAGCCTGTCCTCCATATCTGGTACAGCCACGTTTACCAATTACAAGTGATGGACAATTCTCCTCTGAAATAATAACATTAGAAAGAAGTTAAATAGAAGCAGCATATAACTGACTATGATCACCTGAGTGAAATTTGTTCATCAGTTTGGTTATCATGACCAAAGAGAAGTAGGGATGTAAACTGTATTTTATGACCTGCAAACCTACTAAAAATATCTGGCATTAACAAAGTAAAAAGCAGAATAAAGCAACACAAAAAAGAACCCAATAACAAACACAGTCACAACAGCAACCAAAACAATGAAACTTCCCTTTCAGTAGGAAGGATTAATTGTATCATAAGCACAATCATTAATTATGAGAACAAGAGGGCATGCAGTTAATAGATATTCCTAAAGGAAAATAATTAATTTAATAAGCCCATCCTAAAGATGTTGCTTTCCTTGGCTCACAAAACCACAGCTTCCTCCATGTTTACTTGCTTCCTCTATTAGAAGCCATTGTTAGAAATTCAGTGTTTCAGCTCCTCACAAGTCGTTTGAACATCGGTGACAGGGCCTATGCATACAACTGCATTATAAGCATGCAATTGTGTCTAATAGCAAATATGTCTAAGTTAACAAATGCAACATTATCTTTTTAGGAAAGCAGAGGTGTTGTAGTTTCCTGTAAAAGAATTAAGAAAAAAATTGCAACAATCTACACACACACAGATACTCCCAGAAGATATTTTGGCATATTTTTGCAGTCATATGCAAATGTAGTAGCAAATTGTATACATTCATACCAAAAGTTTTAGCTAATAAATGGTTTGATATCCTTTCAGACTCTGCTGTGATTTTGACCTTTCTCCATCTATAATTTTTACAAATACTTTAAAAGAATACAGCTGAAGTACCTATGTTTTTCATTTTCATTTTTTTCTAATTACCTGGATGAAGATTTGGTGCTGAATCTGATCTGTGCTGAAAGAAAAAAGACAGTGGCGTGTATATTCACTTTTTTGTCCTATATTTCTTTCTTTCTTTTTCTTTTCTTGTCAGTCGTGGGGCTTGAACTCTGGGCCTGGGCCCTGTCCCTCAGCTCTTCAGCTCAAGGCTAGAGCTCTACCACCTGAGCCACAGTGCCACTTCCTGTTCTCTGAATGGTTTATTGGATAATAAGAGTCTCACTGACTTTCTTACCTGGGCTGGCTTTGAACCTTGATCCTTAGATCTCAGCCTCCTGAGTAGCTAGGATTACAGGTGTGAGCCACCCGTGCCTGACTCTCTTATTTTTCTTGAATAGTTATATAATAGCCTTAACACATGTGGCAATACCTTATTCTACAAACCATCCTTTTGAAAATCCTTTCTATTGTGTTGTTGATAAGTTACATTATGGTCATTGGCTTTATAAAAGTTTAAAGTTACCTTTCACTTTTGATGATTCCTAATTACTAACAAATATGCTTTTCTTAGGTGCTATTATTTTGGTCTTGTTACTGTAAGGAACAATGTTTTTATTTTTATTTCTTTTTACATTTTTAAATATTGGTTTCTTAGTTAAATCATTGGCAATAATCCAGTACTGTTTTCCTCTTCTTTCTTTTTCTTTTAAAGTATGGAATCAGTCCATGTTTTCTTATGTTGAAAACACAAATAGGAGTTTCTCTCTGTTAAAATTAGTGCACATTAGTGTAATCAAGCATATTGTAAATTCCTATTCTAATTGAGATTGACTTGTTCTGTGATTCTCCAACTTCTTATTTCATTATTTATTATAAACTATTAGTTAAATATCATGAATATTTATATTTTTCTCCCACTCAAGAAGAAGTCTGTATATCAGCTTTTGTGAGCTTCAAGCAAAATTTTATGAGCTCTGAGCTTAATTACTAGAAATCTAATAAAATGGTCATGGGCCAACAATTGGTGTTATTTACTAAGGCAAAATGCTCAAAGTCATTTATTTTAATTGAATACAAGATCTAGAATTTTTGCATAGAAGGATCTAATTCTGAGGTCAGAATTCTTCCTGCCTTTTGTCCATAGAATATTAGATGTATAGTTTCAGTGTTTTCTTTTTTCTCATTGATTTCTCCACTCAGATATATCTGTTCAGAAGATGATTACCTTCTAGTAAGTATACCATCAATAAATACACTGGAAGATTATTTTTCTTAGTACATTACTAGTTGTTTAGTCTCTAGCTTTTTAAAAAATATTCTTAGAGATATCTAAGTTTTTTATACTTTAAAAATATTTTATTATACTTAATACATATTTTATACTTAAAACACATTGTATTAGTACTTATTATCTCTTTCTTTAGGTCTAAAATCCAAAAGCATCAATGATCTAATAAAGGACATAGTACGTGAACAGTTCAAAGTCTTTAAAAATGACATGCAAGAGACTGTTGCTCAGCTTTTTAAGACTGTATCAAGCCTTTCAGAGGATCTGGAAAACACCAGACACATCATTCAACAAGTGAATGAATCTGTGGTCTCACTGGCCCTCCAGCAAAAGTCGGTTTTAATGCAAGACAATAGGCCCACTTGGACTGACATAGTCGATCTAAAGAACCGCATGGTAGATGTAAGGCAAGAAATGACTTTTACATGTGAGAAGCCTATTAAAGAACTAGAAGCAAAGCAGACTCATTTAGAAGAGGCCTTGATGCAGGAACACTCCAGGAGCGTTCTGTATTATGAATCACTCAAAAAGACCCTTTCTAAAATGAAAGAAGCCCACGAGCACTCCTTAGAAGGCTCCGAACAGAAGAACGTGGCTGTGGCCCAATCTGTGAGCCATAATGTCACCGCACACATGACTGTTTTACATGAGAAGATAAACAAGCAAGCTTTGATGATGTTACAAATGTCTGATGATTTGCACATCCAAGAGAGCAAGATTAACAACCTCACCATCAGTTTAGAGCTGGAGAAAATCTCTATGAAGGGTGCCTGTGAAGAAATGTTGTCTACATGTAGAAATGATTTTAAGCTTCAACTCAGAGACACAGAAGAGAATTTGCAAGTGTTAAACCAAACGTTAGCTGAGATAGTCTTCCCAATGGACAGCAAGATGGAAGAAATGAATGAGCAGCTGCACGATTTGATGCATGACATGGAGATGCTGCAACCTTTGCTTGAGCAGGAAGCGTCACTCAGAGAGACAGCCACCCCTGAGCAACCAAAGGAAGCAGTGGCCACAAGGAAGAAGGTAGAATATCTGATTCAAGCTGTCAACAGTCTAAATTCTTTCCTCAAAGAGCTTACTAAAAGACACAACGTACTTCGAAGTGAAGTACAGACTCGTGGTGATTCCTTTGAAAGACGGCTGGGTGAGTTTGCCCTGGAGATGGAAGATGGCCTCAATAAGACGATGATGATTATCAATAATGCCGTTGATTCTGTTCAAGATAACTACGTGCGCAAAGAGTCTTTACGCACAGAGTATGATCTGCAAGTCCACCACATGTGTAACGAAAACATGGAAACCATTTTGACATGTATTTCTCAGTTCCAGCGCTTGAATGACTCTATCCAGATTTTGATCAATGATGATCAGAGGTACAGTGTTGTTCTACAAGTTGCTAAGGTCCTCGCAGATATTGCTAAAGACAAGGAACACAATCAGTCCAGCTTTCAAAAGATTTATCACATGTTCGATGAATTCATCTCCCAAGTGAAAAACTACCAGCAGAACATGACTCGTTTGGAAGAAAACATAATCTCAGCTACTAATAGTTCTAAAAAATGCGAAACTCGGCTGCAAAGCATGGAATCTAAAGTGACACAGACACTCGTACCTTATTACATTTCACTTAAAAAAAGTAGTAGTATGGCTACAAATGAGAGAGATCAAGCTCTTCAACTGCAGGTATTGAATTCCAGGTTTAAGGCACTAGAAGCTAAATCCATTCGTCTTTCAATGGGTTTCTCTTTGCTTAACAAAACTGTCCAGGAGTTTTTAACTGTGTGCCGTAATGCTTCTGTAGATGTATCTGAACTCAACGCTACCCTTCCTAAGTGGATCAAAGGCTTTGTGCCAGGGAGCCAGCTTTCTCAGAAAGGGCTCACAGAATTTGTGGATTCAATCATTGAAATAAAAACTCAAGCTGCCCTATCAAACTTAACTGGGTACATTGATCGATTGTTGTCGGAGGGTCTGGCAAATGTTGTCAAGTCTCAGAAGCAAGTAAAATTGCAGAAGAAACCTAATATGTTTAAGAAACCAACAGTGAATCTGACAACCATTGTAATAGGGCGGACTCAAAGAAATACAGACAGCCTCATATATCCTGGTAAGCTATGCCTGAATAATAGTGTTTAACCTCTCTTTTTTGTTTCAGGAACATTTAGCAATGAGAATGAAAGGTGTTTCTGACACCTAAATAGTAAAAAAAATGCATATTTCCCTGATATAGCATTGCAATCTGATTCTATGCAGTTTAGTCATCAGTATACAAAAAATACACTGTAATCTTATTGTACATATTTTTTTCACTATGTCTGACCAAATCATTAAAAATAATATTTTTTCCCTAAAGAGGATATTTCTCCATGGACACACAGTAGTAAAAAGTTCCTCTTTCACTGAAATGCAGTCTTACTTTATTCCTTTGATGTGATGGAATCGCAGGTGACTTGCTGAGGTATCTTCCTAAAAGAGACACCAGCTGCTCAGAGCCAGGTCACGTGACCCTGGAAGGAGAGGGAAAGTCAACTTCCGAATGTGGGCAGTTGGGGAGAGGACGGTGCTGCTTGCACAGATCTGTCAGCTCCCAGGGAGCAGCAGTGCACATCCTGGAGAAGGGAACATGGAGTGTGGTGCACATGAACAATTTCATTGTCTGTATGAAGGCTGAGGTTTTTTAAAAAATGTTTCTGCTGGGTGCTGGTGGCTCACACCTGTCATCCTAGCTACTCAGGGAGGCTGAGATCTCAGGATCACAGTTCAAAGCCAGTTCGGGCAGGAAAATCTGTGAAACTCTTATCTCCAATAAACCACCAAAAAACTGGAAGTGGCGCTGTAGCTCAAGTGGTAGAGCACTAGCTGAGGGACAGCACCCAGGCCCAGAGTTCAAGTACCATTACCAACCAAAACATAAAATGTTTCTCATATAAGTAATATCTAATGACCTCATACTGAACCTATCACTGCTTGCTCTTATTGTGTGTCTCTCCTATGACTCTGCTGGTAACTTAAGTTCCCATGTGGATGATTATTTTTTTAATTACATTTCCTTCTAGTTAGAAAAGGGTACTTATTGTCCTAACATAAAATGACTCATATTTAAACTCCAAATGTCTTCAAAATATTAAAATTACAGACTGATCCAAGGATGCATTCTCCTGACTGTTGAGTATATTTTTGTATCACTCCCACAAATTAATCTGATTTAGAAAGATTAATCCTTGCTCCCAGAAGAACATGGGCTGAACTCTTTAGACTAGTGTATTTGCCAGGGGATTGTAGTCTATTAGTACTTTAGTACAAAGTACTTTGTACTTTAGTGTTCTTTCAAGAAGAGTTTTAGGGAAAGTAATGAGTTTATATTTCCATGTTGCAATATGTACCAACCTGGTTCGTCTTTGTGTAATTTCTGTAATATTAACTTCCATAAAACTCTGTGGTACATATGGTCATATACCAGGCTGTACCATTTCTTTGGTTTAAAACCAAAACCAGTCTGTGTCCATGCAGTAAGTATAAAACTTATCTCAAAATTAATTGAAGTAAAAAAAATTCATACATCACCAGAACTTGCAAACTTTGAGAGTATATAAAATAAGTGTTAGGATTTCATATAAATTATGCTTGGATAAATAGTGATTGACATAGTATTAGATTTCATGGCTAATAGTAAATAAAATCAGTTTTGTTTCTCATTTTTCAATGAAGCCATGAAAAAATTGCTTCTTTTTCCATTATTCACTCGAGTAGATTTTTTTTTTTGATTGGTCATGGGGCTTGAACTCTGGGCCTGGGTGCTGTCCCTGAGCAATTCAGCTTAAGGCAAGCACTCTACCACTTGAGCCACAGTGCCACTTCCAGTCTTGTGGTGGTTAGTTGGAGATAAGAGTATTACAGACTTTCCTGTCTAGGCTGGCTTTGAACCTCGATCCTCAGATCTCACCCTTCTGAGTAGCTTGGATTACAGGTGTGAGCCACTGGTGCCTGGCTTGAGTAGAATTTTTATAGACTTGTAGGTCAAAATTAATTATGAATTAAAGTTTCTCTTGTTTATCTCAAAAAAGAGATGAGTAATGATGTCAGGACAATAAAGATGTATTGGCCTACTTCTATGTGCAAGGTTAAAATTTGCTTTGTACTGGACCAGCAGCTGACAGGCAGGCATGTAGGTTTGTGTACCTTTGAACTGGCCTGCTTCTATGGGCTGTCATCTAAGTCACATCACATTCTCTAGACAGCTGAGTAAGTACGGTCTGTGCAAGGTAATGAAACCAGACAGCCAAGCCTTAGTTCTTCTGTAAGAATAAAATGATTAAAAATATATTCTGCTGGGTGCCGGTGGGTAACTCATACCTGTAATCCTAGCTACTCAGGAAGCTGAGGATTGTGGTTCGGCACTAGTCCTGGCAGGGAAGCCCATGAGACTTTTACCTCTAATTAACCACCAGAAAAACCAGAAGTACAGCTGTGGCTCAAAGTGGTAGAGTGCTTCCCTTGAGCAAAAGAACTGAGGGACAGCACCCAGGCCCTGAGTTCATGACCCACGATTAAGGAAAATAAGGTATGTCCTTTGATGCCGTTTATACCAGAGATGAGATACACTGATACACTGGCTAAATTTGGCTATATCCATTGACCTTTATGGGAGACAGAGCAGAACCACATTGTCCCCCAAATTCATGACAACCAGAAGACAATTGATTATCATATGACTCTCATAATTATAGTCAGATTATAGCTATTATTATTAACCAAAAAATAGGAGGAATTGAGTGTGGCACATACAATCTTCATAGTGTCTCCACATGAAAAAGTAGTGTTCTTCAAATGTTTGTTGAATGAGCAATAGTAAATAACATTTTCATATTGAAAAGAGAACTTGCTGTCATTGTGATTTTTGCATATGAGTATACTTGTAACTTAGGTGCCCATTTGTATGATTTTAAAACTTTCATTACTTTCTAATTAGGAAATGGTGCTTATTCTCCTAACAGAAAATGACTCATATTTAAACTATGAATGTTTTAGTCATACTAAAAGTAAAGGCTAATACAGGGATATGTTCTCTTGACTATTGCCCATACTTTTTGTATGATTTTCACAAATTAATCTGACCTAGTGGGATTTATCCTTATTCCCAAAACAATATAGATTGGACTCTTTAGACTGGTGTATTTCCCAGAGAAATGCATCCTCTTAGTACCAGATGTTCTTATAATGGCAAGTTTAGAAAAAAGAAAGATGAGGTCCTGTTCCATATTACAATAGATATTATCCTTGGTTTTCATGTGCCCTCACCAACATTAACATTACTGTTTGCTTTTATTCAGTTACAATACACCACACACACACACACACACACACACACACACACTAATGAGTGCATTATTTCTTATGAGAGAGGCCCATAAAGATCTCATTTCCACCTGGCCATTCAGGTACCCTGCTTAGTATGATACAAAAATCTTCCAAACCTCTGATATTCAGTATGGATCCTATTTTTTGCATAGGGCCTGGGCCCAATGAATGGCTTTTAAAGTCAGGCGTGGACGGAAGTCAAGTTCTGATAAGCCAACCAAGGGCAAAACCTTGCAACATTGTTCTAAACAACAATGGTCCTTGGCCTGCTCTGTTGGCTTTTCTGAGCATGATCTCAAGGATATTCTTCGTGTTGGGGTGGATGAGAGGCCTGTCTACCAGGAATGGCTTCCCCAATTTGTGTCAATAAGACATATCTGTGTTGAAGAGAATATGAAATGAGCACTGCTTTTTTTTTCATGGTTTCCTGGGAGAAGAAAAGACTCTCTTATCTTTTTGGATGATTCTCTTCATATAGACAGATGATGACAGATGAAGAGAGTAAGCAGACAAGATTGACAAACCTTTTCTTCACCTTTCCTACAATGAGAATTGCCAGGGTATCTGAAGTGAATAGGCAGAAGCCTACACAGTAGATGTCTTCCCTTTGGGCTGCCATTAATCATGAAGTCAGATAAAATAGCAAGTTCCTTTACACAGGAACTGCCTCCAAGGTTTTCCCTTGAGAAGTTCTTTCAGCCAAGATTTAATGTCGATGTCAATGACTTGAAACAAAATTTGATGGTTAAGTACTCTAAATCCATCGAATAAATGTTTTCCTCTTGGTTGTTAATTATATCCACATTGCTGAATATATTTCTTTTTAGTACTGATTAATGGCCCATTGTATCCATATACCACAGTTTGCTTATCTGTTTACTAACTGGAGGATATTTTGGTTGTTTCTAGTTTGGTGTGATTATGGACAAAGCTGGCATAAGCATTCACATATAGGAATTTGTAAGAGCATGTCTTTTTATTTCTCTTGGCTTCATAAATAGGAGTAACATAACTTGCTTATAAGGTAAATCTAGCTCAGAGTTTACAAGGAAGAGCCAACAACTTGGCATTCCCATGAAAAATGAAGCAGAATTTGTTTAAGTGTTTATTGTCAATAGCTCTTATCGTACCATTTGAATCAATATGTAGTTGCATCTCATTGCAACTATTTTGCATTTTCTTAGTGCATAAATGTTTTGAGTGATACTTCATTGCATTTTCCTGACAGTGCTTTTCATTCTCCCTTTGATTGAGGATTATGACTCTGTAGGAAAGAGAAGGCAAAAACTGTTGATAGTATCAAATAAAAAATTTTTAATTTTCCAGTCCGTGGCTTAAGATAGCTAAATAATAATCTCATGGCAAAGGTCAGAGTCTGCCTTCTGGGAGAGGGCTAATATGTGTGGTAAAGATTGCTGAAGTGATTAAATGTGCTTCAACGTGGCATTTGAAGGGTTGAGAAGAAAAGGTCCTGGGAAATATTAACAAGAATGACAGATGTGACAGGAAAAGAACAAATAGAAAAAAAAACATTCCTTTTAAAGAAAAGCAATAAAGATGATCAGAGACAATATTTCCAGACATCCATTTAGATGCCAGTGGGCCAATATGAGAAATTAAAATGTAAAACTTGAATATTTTATATAAACATAAATATTGGCATGTCTGGGAGTGGCTTGGAAGCAGACGATGAAATATTTTGAGAGGAATGGAAGGTTAGACCTTAGTTGATAGAAATAATTGTGATAAATAGGGAGGCAGAAAAAGCATTGAAAGCTGAGACTATATCCATAAACATGAGAAGGCAAGTATTTTAGAGCACATGGGAATCAAGGTAAAATAGAAAGAAGAGTACAAATGTTACAGGAGTGTATTACATAGGAACTCAATTAAAATTTTCTTCTGTGTATTAAAAACTCACCCAGAACCAAAAAGACAAATCCCTTTCCTAATCTATTAGAAATCCATTATACCATAGGCAAGGTTCAGAGTTATCTGCCTTTTGCAATGGTATATCTCTTCTATTTTTAGATACTTAGTACATATTGATTGCTTTCTCAAAATAACATTGCAATGATATCTTTCAATGAAGGAAATAATAAAAATTAAAATACCAGCAAGATGATATTGTTAAAATATTGCCTACCAGAGTAGCCTATTGTGAAAGTAAAAATTACACACATCTTACATTACATTATATAAAAAATGAATTAAACTAAGAACAAAGTAGAAAACCACCACAGAGTGTTGGTTCATTTATTTGTGAAATTATTCCTGAGAAAGTTTTGGAAATGATGGAGTGGAAAGTCTGAATTCAACACAGCCACACCCCCATGGAGCTCTTAGTATAATAAAGGCAAATGTTAGCAAAGGAAGGGTGCTTTTGAAAACATAAGGAGCTCTCACCAGTTCAAATTTAACATGAACACTGATGGCATTTGATAGTAGGATTAAGAGAAATGTGTAACCGGCATACATATTAGGATCCAGAAAGCAAAAGCCAGAACTAATTGAGATTTATGAAATATTCCATGACAATGGAAAAAGGAATTTTAGTCATGCTGAGGGCAGGGAAATTAATATCAAAAGATTAGTCATGCTACTTGCACAAGATAGTAGAACATTGAGTTGGTAGAACTGTCCACCTAATTGCACAGATCTCTGTCAAAGAAAATTAATGGACTGTTATGGATTTAAGGGGTTATCGAAATCCAAGGTAGGGAAGAGATTGTGACAGGTTTGCTTCAAATAATCCCATGCCTTTAGAAACATATGCGGACCGTGTAGCTTCATATTCTGTGTAAAGTTTGAGAGACTCCAAAGAAGGGTCCAATTGAATAAGAATGTGCTTATCTATTCACAGAAACAATTAGCACTTTCTTTATACCACATACCTTGCCAGTCAGTAGTAATGTAAAGTATAAGAAATAAATGTGGAGTATGAGCTTCAACAAAGCCCACACTCTATAGAATGTTGGGAAGACACACACGCTAGTGCAATCTTGTGACTTATCAGCTCAATGACAGAACTTTTTTGGAGCATTTGGCAATAACCAAAGGAATTAAAGTAATTAACTCTAGCCTCCCAGATGAGGGAGGATGCCAAGTGGTAATGTTTTATTGGAGTTTGATATCTGTTATTAATTTAGGAACAAATAATGTATTGAGCACTGTTATGAGCAGATATTGATAAGATCAACGGATTGATTTTAATGTATGTAATTAATAAAATAAAAAAGTGAGTCAGGACATATATAAAAGCAGACTGATAACTGTATAACAAATTGTAACAACTTCAGTTGGCAAATTGATACCAACCAAGCTTTCTTGTCCAGTCTAAGGGTCTGTACTTGACAGCTACCTAAGAAGTATTTGTAGAAATAAATGACTTGGATGAAAACATGCAATGTAAACTTGGTCGTGCTATCAGAGCTGGAAGAGATGGCTAAAGGATTTCACAGAAAATAAAAGTGATGAAGGATTTCTATAGACAGACATGGCAACTCTGCTACAATGAGATGCATTTAATTATTATCAATACTATGCATAGATATGTTTTAATTGGGATACATTTAATTAGTGTCAACAATTTAGATATATGTCTTAATTAATTTGATTTAAATTGAATGCCATTAAGGTGGACTTTTGGAGTCCTTCAACATCAACATGTAGATGACTGTTCAAACAAAGTAGGATATAAACTCAAAACTAGAAAATGAGCACCTAGTATTTAGGTTACATTAGCAGATGGTATAAAATGTTACCTGCAACTGCTTCCCAAAACAGGAGGTTGACATAATATCCCCAGTACTGAGTGGCCTACATGATCAAAATGCAAAATTTTGATCACCAGAGATATTTGAATAGCAAGAAAGGCTCTTGTCTACAATTTTCTTACTTAGTAACAAAAATGAATATGTTTAAAAAAAATCTTCAGTGAGCTATTCTGTTTTTTGTTCAGTGAAGGGCCTATTTATACTTTTTTGTTTTTTGTGGTACTGGGATTTGAACTCAGGGTCTTCATACTTTTAGTTTATTTAAAATTCATATAAGGTTACACTACCTTTGCAGAGCTGAGCTCAGACTTAAAATCTTATCTCCAACTACAGTGTTGCTGGGATTATAGATATGTACTATCATACAGGACCATTTTCCTTTATGGATTTATCAGAGCTTAAAGATATTTTTTGTTTGGATATGTCCATTAAAACTGGTTTCTCTTCATTTGTTACTGAACTTTTGATTCGGCTGCTTTCATTTCAAATAAGGTTTGATTTTTGGCTGATCAAATGTGAATTTGTTTTTCTCTCACAGAATCTAATTTTGATTTGCTTTGCAAAATTTAAAGTTTTACAAAGGTTTTCCATTTTACTTGATTATAATACAAAGACTATTTTCAGTCCATATGGAGTTTATGTTTTTATATTTTATGGACATTAACACTAGATAGAGGTTGAAAGGACTTTTTTCATCACCTCTGATGATCATATATCAGTTCAAAATTACATGTTCCTGTCTTTGGATAATTACATTCCACTCTACAGTTGACCAAAATCTAACATATTCATATACATAAATGCTGTGGATCACCACAGAGTTATCTCACAGAATTGAGATTGCTCACAGGAGCAATGTTCAGAACTAAGATATTTATAAGAGGTCCCATGAATATATCCCTCAGCAGGGAACTTGAACCCATGAATTCATTCTCCTTTTTTTAAAAAAAGAAATTTCTATTTTAAATCTACACATGGCTATATAAAGGAATTACAATTTAACATGTTCATTTATGCATATGGTGCATCTTAATTAGAACCCCTGTCTCCATCTTTTCCCCTCTTTTTCTCACCAACCTCATCTCGCATCAATCACATAATCTCCCGCATCCTTTTTACACGTAGGTACATCGAGTATCATGACTCTCTTCATTCAGTGTTCCCTTTTCTTTTCATTGTCCCTTTCCCACTAGCCCCTTCTCATTCAGGTAATGACTCTGCTTCCAGGTACTCATTCTGTTAACCTCTGTTAATTATTCCAAAGTTTTACACATGACGTTCCACCCCTTCATGAATTATACTTTAGGCAAGGTGCTGGTCTATATATGTATGTGACATTGTGTATGCTTACTTGAGGGTTGGAAAACATGTCTTCATCTTTCTAGGTTTGATGACTTCACTCAGCATGGTATCTTGAATTCCATCCATTTTAGGGATCCATTGTTCTTACTTCACAGTCAGCGTCTTACCTATTCTGCTGCAAACAGTGGTTTGGGATGATCAGGAGAATGGGTCAGTTTAGCCTCTTTCTTGTGATTCTCTTGCAGTAGCACAAGAATCTTCGGGCTGTAGCAGGTTCCCGTGCCTCAATGGGGGCACCTGCATAAATGGGGTGTCGAGCTTCACCTGTGCCTGCCGACATCCGTTCACAGGAGACAACTGCACAGTCAAGCTGGAGGACAAAAACGCGCTAGCCCCAGGTAAAAGATGACGATGCTTGGGTTTGCTCAGTAGCCTCTACAGAACATTGTTCTGAAAATCCTTGTGTATGAACACTTAAGCCTCTTTAATCTGAACCCACATGATAATGAACTCATTTTAAATTCTGAAAGGTGTTGAAGAACAAACCTGATTTACAAGTGGAAATACTTTTTGGTCAAGGAAATTTATCATTGTGGGCACTTGTTGACAATATTTTCATGTGCATAGAGCAGTGAAAATTTATCGAAAGTCCCATCAACCCTCACATTTTACGCAAAGAAAATAGAGACTGGCAAGATATGGCATTTAAGTGAAAAAATTTTTAAATGCTTGATGATGTTATTTTAGTTAAACAAAGTCCTTAGAAGATGCTCAGATACATTGAGAAGAAAAGATACCTTTTCTCTCTCTGCCTTATGTCACGGTCATTGTTTTAAATTGCTTTGCATGTGCTTTATGAATGCGGTCTTCCTGAATTTTATATGAGAAAATAAGCACGGCATTTGAAACACATATCATTTTTGATGACAGCCCAAACCATAGTTCAAATCAGACTTAACCTCAATTTGCTGCATAGTGAGGAGAAAAGTATTTCAGTCTGTTTTAAAATCTCAGTTTTTAAATGTATTGGCATTAATTGTAGCTTCTGTTTCTTCAAAAGGGTTATAAAACAAGTTGGCACACTGTAATAACCATTCAGGGATTTACATTCCTTCATTTCTAGAAAGACCAAAACAACATGCAAATGCATCTCTGAGATATTCTGTGAGGGATTTATCAAGCCTTATTTCATTCTATCCTTATGGAAAGGGAGAAACAGAGACTTCAAGAGACTTCAGTGGTTTAGCAAATTTCAGCCAAGATGGCAGGCAGGGAGGTAGGCATCTAGACACACACAGTTTCAGAGGACATGTTAGCTTTTACCAAACATTGTTGCAATGGAGAAAGAAGGATAACAATGGGAAGAAAAACAAAACCAGATTCAAGACATGAAAATTAACTCAATATTTTTCTTTTAACAGATTTCTCCAAAGGATCTTATAGATATGCACCAATGGTGGCATTTTTTGCATCTCTTACATATGAGATAACCACACCTGGCCCTATCCTGTTTAATGAACTGGATGTCAACTATGGAGCTTCCTATAACCCAAGAACTGGGAAATTTACAATTCCTTTTCTTGGAGTGTATGTTTTCAAATATACAGTTGAGTCATCTAGTGCTCATATCTCTGGATTTTTAGTAGTTGATGGAGTAGACAAGCTCACATTTGAATCTAAAAATATTAACAGTGAGATATACTGTGATAGAGTTTTGACTGGGGATGCATTATTAGAATTAAATTATGGACAGGAAGTTTGGTTGCGTCTTGTAAAAGGAACAATTCCGGCCAAATTTCCCCCAGTTACTACATTTAGTGGTTATTTGTTGTATCGTACTTAGTGTTAAAGACAGACTACTACCTTTACCGAGAACTAGCCTGTCTTCATTTATTTTCGCATGCACAGGTGTTCTGTTTGAAGTTTTCTACACTAAATGAAAAACTAGCTTTCAAAAAGATCTGAATACAGCTTTATGCTTATTTCATAAAAATACTTGGGTAGGCTGTATATGAAAGTTGTTCCTAAAGAAAGCTACAGGCACAGAAAACCAACCATGTTTGTTAACATTAATATTCCTATCTTTATTCTTCATTTTTATCTCATTTCAGTAGACAGTAGTATTTTACAATTTCAGCCACATTATGTTGTTGGCCACAGTAGTCTTTCTAATGAAATATTTAACTTACGTTAAAATCTATAGTTATAAATGGATAGCAAATATTTCCTAGAATAACACACTCATTAAAACGTTAAAGACAAAATGGTAGTTTTTGTGCTTTTATTTTTACGGATGAGTTTTACGCAATACATTTTCATTTTTAATAAAAAATAAAAAGGTGAAGTAGAAATGTGAAATATGCATAAGTTATCCTCTTTTGTAATTAGAGGATGAAGTAACAGATGACATATAGTTTGATGTTTATTCCTAATTCTTCTAAGCTTACATATAGATAACCAGAATGTCAGCTGTGGAACTTCATATAACCCAAGGAATGGAGAATTTTTAATTTCATAGCTTGATGCATGTTTTCAAATATACCATTGGGTCATTTAGTGCTCTTGTGTACTTTAAAAAAATAAACCTATGTACAATAAGAATTCTATTTCAGTACATGCAAATCTACCCCTTTTCTTATAAAGGGTGACTAAGAATTATGGAGTATTGCTATTCCCTGGTTCCCTGTCAAACAACTTACACATCATATCTCATGGGCTCTTCACAGTAACTCATGTAACACGAGTTTCATTGTCATTAATTTTGTAATTGACAAAATAAAGGCATGGCCAAGTTAGGGAGCGGATGGATGTCCACAGTCCTTAAAGACTTAGGTCTTCTTTGAATCAGGCCTTGTCTTGTCCAAAACTGCCATCCATCCTTCTTCTCTATCTATTGCTTCCCACGGAAGGACCAAAATTTCTTTAGCAATCCCTTATTTTTCAACATGTAGACTGCTTCCAATTTTTATTATAAAATATCATTGTAGTAAATATTTTTATAAAAGTATTCCTTTCATTTTGACTAAGGGTTTCTGAAGTATAGATTAGTAGTAGGATTAATAGTAGAAATAGTAGTAGAAAAATAATAATAAATGAGATTTGGTACCATCAATGTTTTGCATGTATTAAATGACTTAATGCTCATGGTAGTCCTATGTTATATATTGACCTATGAAATACACTGTAAGGTGTATATTATTACCCTCTTTCTGTCTGCTCATGAGAAGTAGAGTCTAAGGCAATTTACCAATATTATAGCAAATGGAGAATATCTAGAACAAGATAAACATCATCTTCAATTTCAGTAAAATATTCTACCAACCTGTTCTCTGATTGACATGAAATTAAAAATATTAAAAATGTTTTCTCATTGACATGAAAAAGAATATTTTCTGTATCACACACATTCTTTACAAGAACTCTCCAATTCCCCAGAAAAGGTATTCTCCTTTTTTTCTTCTTTTCTTCCCCCCTCCCTTTCCTGAGACTTGAACTCAGGGCCTAGGTGGTAAAGTCTCTGAGCCTCTTTGTGTTCAAGGCTAGCCTGTTGCCACTTGAGTCACAGAGCCACTTCTGAGTAGTTTATTGGAGAGTAGCTTTTTTTTTCTGAGTAGTTTATTGAAGATAAGAGTCTCTCAGACTTTTCTGCTGCAGCTGGCTTCAAACTGTGATCTTCAGATCCTCAGATCCTGAGTAGCTAGGATTACAGGTGTCAGACATTGGCGTCAAGCTGCATTCCCCAGTTTTAAAGATGAAAATCATTATTTCTGTATTAACGAGACTTGGGGTTCTTTTTGTTCAAATTTACCATAGCATAAAAACAATATACCATGACTAGAAGTTGTACATGAATGTTTATAGTATTAGTTCATAGTGTTAGCCAAAATCTGGGAACCCTTACCAAGCCAACAACGAATAGGCAGTTAGCCACCTTGCATATCACCTACCAAATAGGAAAAAAGAATGACTGCACTACAGCACCTAAAGTCTCACAACAATTACGCAAGAAAACCCTAGCTAAATCTAGAGACAAGACATCCAATGATTTCCTCCTGCTACACCTTGTCATCTGTAAATGCATCATTTGCAAAATAAATGTAAAGCTTTGATGCGTTCTTCAGTACTTGCCTCAAAACTTACAATAATTAAAATGTTTTTCATGTCTTATTTCCTCACATAGTCATATATTAACACAGTATTTTTCTTTGCAGATATACCGTTTTTGTGTGTGTGTGTGTGTGTGTTTGGTGAGCTGCTTTACTTTAATAGGATCTGAAGGAAGTAAACAATAGCATTCATCATTGGCATGGCCAATATAATTCATTGACTTTAAAATTAGATAATTAGCATCTAGCGTTAAATGATGTTTCTGTGTTTGAGATTTTAATTATTAATATTACTTTTTATGTATTTATAGAACATATTATTAAATAGCAAAATAGCCAAGAGGCAATGTAGCGGCTTTAAGTTGCTATGAACTTGTGTGACTCTATTTTACAAATGGAAAAATATAATTTAAGATAATTTAGTAGTACATTGCTAGTTGTCATTATCCAACTTATTTGTGTGGAAGAAATACAGCGCTGGGCTATTTCTTGGTTTCTTCTATAATGATAGTTGACTGCTATCTTGGCCATTACTGTATAGATTGGGTTTCAGAGATCATCTTTCTCAGAAGACGGCCCGGCAAGCTCCTGAAGTGTGTCAAGAACCTATTACCTAACTACTGAAAACAATTTCTGTCAATTCATTAATTAGTAGATACTATTCCTGTAGTAAAGTGCACATGACATGTAATGTAAAGCTCCATCTCAAGTATGTCAGTTCAAACACATGTTGAAATTAAAGTGCATAATTTAACATGATAGTTCCACTATCTCAGGAAGTTTACTAGGGGATGAGATTTGCTTTTAACAGCTATCTTCTCTTTTTCTCTACCCTTCACCAAAATGTCAACATATTTTGTGTCATTCCAGGAGTTGAGCCTTTACTTTCTAAACCAATTTTTCCTAAATTTGTTTGTTCTTATATTATTTTGCCAGCCAAAACTCTTACGTTAAAAGAATGAACTAATTGTCTTTAGGCAATAAGAAATGTAAATCATTCTGTTTTTTGGTTGGTTTACCTGTTTTAGTCCTCTCAGAGAATATTGTATTGTTATTTACTTCAATATATAAATTACTAACCCGTTAGTCTAGTTTGCTGAAGTTCAGTTAAATTATCTATATCTATGTAGCTCCATATACACATAGATATATTTAATTATCATGGATGTTTATACAATGTATGAGGCATATTTACATATTATAAATATTTCAAACGCATAAGCTAGAAATAATCACCTATATGTTATTTGCCTGTTTATGAACTTTTTATATACATAAAAAGATTTTATCATACACTTTTCATTCAGTCTGAAGGAAAAAACAGACAAGTTGGGACCCTTTGGATAGTTGACTGGGATTATCTTTTCACATTGGAAAAATGAGTGAGTTGTGGTATTAGTCTTCATCAAAGGGCAATTTGAAAGGTAGCAAAATTGTCATCATTCATCAGAAGTATTTGCCATCATCTATTATTACTGGGTTCACCTGGGACACATGTAAGCCAAACACCAGCCTGGCCTTGCTGGTGTTGCTGTCCTCTTTTGCAGGCTGAGATGTTTGCTGCCCTAGTGCTCAAGGACCAGGCTTCTTCAGGCTGGGGACCCTTATTAAACAGGCTCCCTCGAGTGCCCTTGCCACAGCTCAGTGAGAATTCTCAGTGAGCTCCACCTCAAACTGTCTTACAGGAAAACAACAACAACAAAATTGTATTTCTCATCCTAATCGAACAATCCATAAAACTCTGGGAAAAGGTCCAGTTTTTGCAGTGTTTCTTACTGACGCATGAATTGCTTCCTGAACTGTCAAAACCTAATAGTCCAGTAGCCCAGGCTTGCCTTGTCTGCTAAATGCTAAGATTATAAGACTGGGCCATCAAACACCAGTCAGAAAGCCCAGGTGTGAACACAGACATTTTCCAGACACCAGTCCTCTTAGTTCAGGCCACCGTAATAAAATTATCGCTGATTGCATGACTCCCAACCAGAGACATGTTTTCCCCTTTGGAGAGATGTAAAGTTCAGGAGGAAGTTGCCAGCAGGTGTCGCAGCGGGAAGAGATTACTTCCTGGCTTGTGGAAAGCTTTGATAAGCGGAGGTGAAGGGCTCTTCCTCTTCTAAGTGATTACCAGCCCAGTATCTGGGCTCAGATCTCATCTAAACCTAGCCCTTACCCTAAGGCCTGACTTCCAAATCCCATCACATTAGGGGTTAGACAATTGGAAGTCTCAAGGGAACACACATTTGCACAAGTATTGCACACAGTGATACTTAGAATGATGTTTACAAATCTTATTTTCTTAAGTTTTAAAGTATTAGTCATATGCTCTGGGTGTAGTTTCCTATTAATTGGATTCATACTAATTCTTATATCCAGTTCACTAAGGCAAACACTGACAGTGCCACAGGAAATACTTTGGGAATTGGTGGTTGTTTAATGTGTTATTTGGAAGAGAGACAATCACAAAGCACTGCAAGATCCTGGCTCTTCTTTAGTGTCCCTTTGGTCTTGATGATGTAGAACTCACAGAGAAACAAGAAATTATTGCTGTCTATTCACTCCAGTTGCTATTTTTAAAATCAGTAAGCTTTTTTTTTCCTTGTAAAAAAGTTATCTATTGTCTTTTGGCCTTTGTGAAATTGTTATTCTCTGAGGAACTTTATAGTAGCATTTCAAGCCAGGGAAGATGCAAAAATGTTGTAGGTATTGAAAATAAATTCCAGATGCTTATGTATTCTCATTTTCTTCCTCTTCTTTCTTCAAATTTGGCCATTTTCCTAATAAGAGAAAAACTTAGTATCCCTATAAATACTCTTTTAATGGAAACCTAAGTTAATTTCCTAGAATAATGAGATGACTAGTGTGTTTGTTCAGCATACTTTGTTAAGCCACTTGAGACAACCCGCCTGAATGTTAAAAGAAAAAGCACAAATGGGTCAAGTGTTCTTGATTTTAATAAATGGAGCCCAAACCCCAGGAATGGAATTGCTGGCATAGCTATTAAATAACTGTTGGAAGTTTGCAAATGCACTTAAACCTTTTCTGTGTGTTCTGAGCACCTAAAGGTAAAATGAAAAGATGCTATGTGAATTTTTAAATATTTCTTAGAGTTGTGCTTTTAAAACAAAACTGCATTAAACTTAGTGTGTCCTGAATACAAAGCATGATTTTTATAACTATTGATCAGCAACTATTCTGCAGCAATGGGTGCTTTGCTCTCTTCTCCAAACCCAGCTCTTTAAAAGACAAGAGAATACCGATGTTCACCTACAGTGAAATGTATTGATTGCAGCCTACGTTTGTTTCACAAAATGCGAGAACACGCATAAGACAATATTTAAGTAGACAAATGTAAAGAGGGGAGGGGGAAGGGAGCTGCCAAAACCTCAGAGCAGATCCTAGAGACATACTCTTACCTTCCTTCTAATATCGTTCTTAATACTCTCCGGGCCAGGTTATAGTGATCATTTTTCATTTGGTGAACATTTAGTGAAAGCTTCTAATCACAGCACACACCTTCTTTTGCTTTCTAACTCCTCCAGTGGAAAAGGAAAAAAAGAAATAAAGGCATTTGTTTCTTCCTTGTTTCCATTTTTACTATCCTGTGTTCCTCGACAACTCCAGACATTTATTATTAATGCTTCTCAAATTGTTATCATGTATCTGACAAATGAGACAGTTCTAGGCCCAGTCAGGTGACCACTGCAGTACCTGAGAACCAGCCAAAACCTCACTGCCTCTCCTTGCCAGGCCCGTTGGCCAGAACTTGTACTCATTTCCTGTTGCATCCATGACTTTTCCACGAAGGCAAGCCCTAAAGCAGGTATCACCTTGTCATTACCCAGCAGCCCAGTGCTCTACATGATCCCTTCAATGTCAGCAGAAGACTGTTTCTGCACATGAAAAAGAAAAACTTTGGTCTTTACCTGAACAATCCTGTTTCTCTTTTTCTATCTCCCTCTTCTTTTCTCTTTCCCCTTCCCTTTTTTCCCCCTTTCTCTTCCTCCTTATCTTCTTCCTCATCTCCTTTTCTGTTTATTTTTTTGTTTTAGGTTTATCTCTGTGTTTTTCTTCCTTCACTTTCATACTCTTGGTTTTGCCCCCCTCTTTCTCTTTCCTGTTCTCCTTCCCTTACACATGATTTCATAAGTCATCAGCTACATAATCAATGTGCAGATTGTTTAAACTGGCTCTTCTTTCTCCTCTTTATGTTGGCTGTCCATCAGGCCTGATAATATTCCAAGATTCATTCTAGAAATTACTGTAGTAATTGTGAGATTTGTTTTAGTATAGCTCTGAATCATATTTTCTTTCTGAAAGTACTACTGTGAATGGGCTCTTTCCATAGAAATCTGTAGCCACAAAAACAATTAAATGGCCAATAAGGTAGCTTATTTCAGCTAAA